GAAGAGTGTGGAGTTTGTCCCGAAGCTGATAAACATGAGCGGTGGACACGGAGTTGTACCGTGCGGCCAAAGCATCCCAGAGGGCAGCAGATGTGGTGAAGCCGCGAGCATGTTTGTGAACGGAGGGGCTGATGACCGCTAGGAGGCAGGCGCGGATCTGTGTGTCAACGATGGTCCAGGAGGTATACTCTGGATTAGGGACGGTTTTATCGTTTTTGGAGATAGTTGGCGCCGGGGCTGCTTCATGACCATCAATCCATCCAAGGAGGAGATTAGCTGAAAGAGCTGTCTGGACATTGAGAGACCATGCCGGATAATTTGTTTCGGTGAGTTTTTCTGGGATTAAGTTGTGGAGACTCCGAAGTAAAAGTTTTACTCCGGAGGGTAAGGACGCCAAAGGATCCGACGGGGCTGCCATGGTGGGCGGCGGTCGGAAAAAAAAAAGAGGCTAGGTTTTTTAGAGCCTTAGCTCCGATACCATGATACAATTTGATAATAACTTATCTTATTGAATATTGAGAGATATGGCCCTATATATAGGGAATACAAGAGTAATCAAAGTACAAGTAGGAATAGGAAAGAATAATCCTAGTAGGAAAGGAAAGAAGTATCCTAATTTAATTATACTTCCTAATAAAGAGCTTTAATATCCAGATTCGAGCCAATTTTCTGGATGACACTGGTGAGAACCTCCAGGCGATCAAGGCCAGAAGGAGAAGAATGATGGCTTTTACTATTTGGGTAGCCTGTGTTTATAGCATTTGGAGGGCTAGCCATAGAAGAATACATCATAAGAGGAGGCTATCGAGTTTACTGGTTTTCATATTCAAAGTTTCTTTCTTTATAAGAAGTGTGTTGATTTTTGGGGCTGTGACATTGTAGTTTCGTTTTATAACTTGCATAATGATTTTCCCTAAATAGCAACACATTAAATAGCAACACATGTGTTTTCCTTCCCAATGTAGCACTTTTAGTCATTATGCATTAATCATTATTCAATTAAATATTCGCCATCACAGGACATTAAGAACATTATTAAATAATATTTAAGGAATAAAATAATTTAAGTGCTATTTAGGGAAATGAATTAAGTTTTATTGCTATTTAGTGCAAATATTTCTTTAAAAATGTTTTTATGGTGCAAACAATGATTTATCTTAACTTTGTTTCTCCATTTGTCCATTTTTTCTTCCCGTTTTTCTTTTTTATTCGTCCGTAAGTTTCTTCCTGTTTTCTTTTTGGCAAGAAAAAAACTCAAAATTATCTTGTTATACAAAAGAAATAAACGGGGTAATTATGTGTGGACGATGGTGGCGGTTTAAGATGAGGTTATGGTGGATGTGTCAAAAAACTTTACTTGAGCGGGCATTGGTTTCTGAATGTGGATAGTTTTGATTAATGGACAGTTTTGGGCATTAGATGAATGTAGATGACTTACGAAAACATGTGGTTGACAGGTTTGGAGATGTCTTTAGAAGTGGGGGAGCAACTTCTCCTACTTTGTTTGAGACGATTTTGTTGAAGGTATCCATGACATTGTGCCCGCTCAATGCCAAGGAAGTTAAGGATGGTCTTTTTGCTATGCACCCAGATAAGTCCCCTAGTCCAGATGGGATGAATCCAGGACTCTATCAAAAGTCTTGGGATGTGGTTGGTCCAAATGGCACAAAGTTTGTGTCAAAGTATTTGAAGGTTGAGGCCTTTCTAGACCAAATGAGTGACACTACTATCTTTTTTGAGATGAAGAAGAAAAAACAAGGGAGTAAGACTAGTTGGGTGGGCTTGAAACTGAATTATGCTAAGGCCTATGATTGGATGGACATTTCCGCTTTTAGTATTGCAATGTTGGGTAATTAGGATTTGCGTTAGATAAGTACGTTCCCAACTCGTCGTTCTTTGAGGCTACATTGGGTCATTCTCAAAGTGAATAAAGAAATTGTAATGAATTATCTAAAATGTTCTAAAAGAGATATAGTATGCTTATTATTGACTTGAATGGATAATAAACCCATATGAAGGATGCTTTTGACCTTTCAAACTCACTTTTTAAACATATTGCTTTTGGCAAAGTCTTCCATTGACATCATTTCTTTTCTAATGATACACGCATTTTCAATTATATTTTAAATAATAAAAATTTGTGTGAGAAGGTTTATGTGACTAAAAATCTCAAGTTCATGACAAAACTTTTTTATTTTCTTCGAAAAATAGATAGTGAATTCCGGATAGTGAGAATATTACCTAGGATGTGGAGATCCTTTGATGGGCTTTTGTCCATATTTCCTCCATGAGAAATCGTCAGCTGGGATGTCTGACATCTTCAAGCTTGTTGTTGGAACTCTGATCGTCCTCTTCTGTCTTAGCTTCCTGTTCCATTTTAATTCCACAAGATATTTATTTATCAAACTTTATATTTGGAAGACTAACACTCTTTTGGTTTAAGAAGTTCAAAAATAAAAAGAAATGAGAATTGTAAAGAAGAACTGTTAGAATAATAATAATAATAATAATAATAATAATAATAATAATAATAATTCTTATTTATGGTAGAGACAATATTTTTAGTCAGCTTCTATTCTTATTCTTATGTATGTTAAGAATCTTGTGTATATATACATCTTTTATCCTTCATTATCACTTGAACAATATACAATTATTTTCTAATTCTATCATGACATCGGAGCATAGGTTATTCTCGAAAACCTAACCCGTTTATTCCGTCATGTGCCGCCGCATATCTCTCACCATCGCCAGCTCTCTTATCAACATTGTCGGCCCTCTTCTTCTCCCAACACTTTGCTGTCATCATGTCAGGGGTCAAAGACCCGTTCGATTCTCTCCCGGGGGGGCTGCTACTATGCTGACGCAATCTCCATTCATTGGTTCCCATCAAATTAGAAGACAATAACTACTCCACTTGGTTCTCCACGGTTAAGGCTCCTCTGTTTGCGCACTGCTTATTAGGTCATGTCGACGACACGGAACCTCCCCAAATACCGATAATACTTGACGAAAAGGCCCCATCTACTGGTGACAAAGAACCTGTCATGAAAGTCAATCCTTCTTATGATCAATGGATTGTTATTGATTCTCAACTACGTGCCTCTCTTCTTGCTCTTCTCTCACCACTAGTTCAGAATTTGGTGCATCTTTGTCCTACTCTTGCTGATATTTTAGATAAACTTCACCAAAGGTACAATTCTCTATCTTGCACGCATATGTTTCAACTCAAGGATCAGCTTCACAATCTTCAAAAAGGACAATCCACGACGCATACATATTTGGATGATGCCCTTAAGATCGTTACTTCCCTGTATCTTGCCCGCGAAACTTTTCCAGAGCAAGAAATTATTCTTAATGTTTTACAGGGCCTTCCTCAAGAATATGCTCCTATTAAACAGAATATACGAACCAATATTGCTCATCTCATTTTAATGAAGTCTATGCCTTGTTACTCTCCGAGGAGTTGAACCTTCAACTTGAACATAAACTTCATTTGGGCACCTCCTCTACCCCTACTGCTGATATTCGTACTGCACTTTATGCCTTAAACGAAGGAGGAGAGCGTGGGGCATTCCATGGTCGTGGCCGCCAAAGGTCTACAGGTGGACGAGGGGCAGGCAGGTATGGCAACAGTGGTCGTTCTCAGCAAGACCGACCCACAGGCCGGGGTTGCGGATCACAACGCGACACCCCTCTTGTGTGTCAAATATGTGGTAAAGTTAAGCATGGAGCATGACATTGTTGGAATCGCTTCAATGAAGATTCTCTGGTTCCACCACAGCAGGCTCATAAAACTCATGCTTTGTACAATAAACCTCCTCATCCACCTGATTATTCTCATCTTCGTGTCTGGTTTATCCCCATCTTCGACATGACATTGACCACAAACTCCTACCTTGCTCCCAGCGGTGTATATTCTTGGGATATGAGGACATATCCAAGGGATATCGTCGTTATAATCCCTCTACCAATCGCATCTATGTCTCTTGTCATGTCCAGTTTCACGAGTCCGAGTTTCCATATTCAGTGACAACTCCTATGCCTACCTCTTCCTTGTTATTTGGTGTTCTCCCTCTTTTTCTGTCACTCCCTGCAGTTCAGCCCACTCCTGTTCACATGGATCTCATGCCACCTAACCCGGTACTCGAACAACTGCCTGAACACCCTCCACCACCACCTGACACTATACCTGACACCTCCATCCTTTCCATACCACCGAACCTTGCACCCATTAACACCCTTCCTTCCACTCCCACAACTGCACCCTCACCCATCACCCTCTGGTCTTGTTGGTGACAGAAGAAGGAAGCCGGATCAAAGAAGGAAACTGAATCCCTTTGGGATTCGGTTTAGTATCTTTCCTAGTTTGCTCAGTTCTTGTTATAGTAGGAATAGAATTATGGTAGGAATAAAAGTTTATTTAAATGCTTTACTCTCTTCCTATATAAAGGGGGTTAGACCTTTGTAAGCACAAGGCAATTCAATATACATAATATTTTTCCTCTTATTAATTTTTACATGGTATCGGAGCCAGGTTTTGAATTCTTGAGACCTCAAACATGCTTCTTTCCCAGCTGGTGGGCATACACAATTCAATGCCTACCGGCGGTATATTGTAATTTTTGATTTTCTTTGATTGTTCTCCCTCACTAAAGAATATCATGAACTCCTTCAACGAAAAACATTGCTGTCGAGGAATCCCGCCCAACCATCAATCTTGAAGAAGTTGTCCGAGAAGGATTGTTTTACAGAGACACACAACTCTTTCCTTAGCAGGCAATAAAAAAAGTCGGCGTTCAGGGTGTTCGAAAAGAATGGCGTTCCCCCTGTTTGTTCGAATGCGGTGAAGGTTCGAAAAGAATGGCGTTCCTTTACTCGACTAATTATTCGGCGGATTCGAAAAACTTGGCGTCTCCGTTGAAGAAAAAAACTGAAGTGTCTAGATGACACTTGGACAACGAAGGCAGCGGCTTCCTCAAGCTTTGTTGCTTTGTTCAATCTTTTGATGTCCAAGCTGGGCATGTTGAACTCCCATGCTCCAGCTTGAGGGGGGGTGTTGGTGACAGAAGAAGGAAGCCGGATCAAAGAAGGAAACTGAATCCCTTTGGGATTCGGTTTAGTATCTTTCCTAGTTTGCTCAGTTCTTGTTATAGTAGGAATAGAATTATGGTAGGAATAAAAGTTTATTTAAATGTTTTACTCTCTTCCTATATAAAGGGGGTTAGACCTTTGTAAGCACAAGGCAATTCAATATACATAATATTTTTCCTCTTATTAATTTCTACAGGTCTTCTCCCCAAGCGACCAATGCACAACCGTCTCACCCACTCTCACTACCACTACCCACTCATCCTATGATTACTCGATCTAAGAGTGGTATTTTTAAACAGAAAGATTACCAAACTCTCACTCACACTTTTAAAGATTACCCCTCCCGTCACTGAGCCTAACCCTTTTAAAGAAGCGTGTACTAATGATTTTCAAAGTTTAAAATGAATTTCGCGCTTTATAAAGGGAAACATTGATTGTGGCCTTGTGTTCCAGTCCAGTGATCTACAGCTACAGGCCTACTCTGACTCTAATTAGACAAATGATATGACTGATGGGCATTTTGTTACAGGCTACGTGGTCTATCTTAGACTAAATATGATCTCTTGGAGCACGAAGAAGCTAAAACGTGTGCCAAAATTCTCCACTGAAGCAGAACACCGAGCCTTGTCCACAGCGGCCTCCAAAGTTATGTGCGTAACCTATGTTCGAATCGATCTACGTATTCCTCTCTCTACACCTCACCTTTCCTGTGTCAATTAGTCAGCCATGTGTCTCACAAAAATCCAATGTTTCACAAGCGTATGAAATATGTGGGTACAGACTGTCACTTTGTTTGAGAACAAGTCATCACTGAGACTGAATGTCTCTCATGTTTTCTCTGAAGATCAGCTTGCCGATTTGCTCACTAAAGCTCAGCCATCACCTCGCTTCTAAACTCTTATTTTCAAGCTTCCACTCGTGACACGTAGTTCAGCTTGAGGGGCTGTTAGAATAATAATAATAATAGTAATAATAATAATAATAATAACAACAACAACAATTATAATAATAATTCCAATTTATGGTAGAGATAGTATTTTTAGCCAGCTTTTATTCTTACTCCTATGTATGTTAAGAATCCTTTGTATATATACAGTTTGTATCCTTCATTATCATTGGAACAATATACAATTATTTTCTAATTGTATCAAAAACAAATTAAAACAAATTAGAAGTGTAAAATTCCAAGATAGATAGAAAATGTTTACATTCTTGGATAGATGGTAAATATGTACATTCTAGGAAATAATCTAGTGTTACAAAATCCTCCATATATCCCAGAATTTTAGATCATTATTCAAAAAGTCGAAATAAATCATCTTTCTTCTATTATTTACTCTGATTTAATCATATGTTACAGTAAAATAATTGTCAACATTTTTTTCATAAAATGTTTGATATAATATTTAAATATACAAAGTTTTTTTTGAATTATACATTAATATTTAAATAAAATAATTTTAAAATAATTTATTCTAAGTATCATACTCCGTAAATCCAAGTGCAAAATTAATCAAAGAAGGAACTACGCAATCTATTTTGGGTAGGCATGTACTCCGTATTTCCCGCCCGTCCAGTGAAAAAGTCATAGGGTACGGAGTACTTTTTTAAAGCTATCTCAAAATAGAGTTTAATTCACAATTTCACATTATTTCTTTCTTTTTTCTTCTAAATTTTAAAACAAATTTTATGATAAAAAAGTCAATCTGTGCACTTTAACACGTTGAGAAAAGAATATATACCATTGAAATAAATTTTGTTATGAAAGTTGTGCTTCATATGCGACCAAAAAATGGTATCTTCTGAATAGGCCTAAATATATTTTATTCTTTTCGCATGATCTGCCATATAAAATTTCATTAGTAACAAGTGTTGGATAATAAATGATTATACGACTCCATAAATGTAGTCATTATCAACAAATATTGGATAATGACTGATTATTTTCAATGATTATTCAAATTATTTTTAAAAATGTATTTTTCTATTTGAATTGTGTAAGAGCATCTCCAATCATCCAATTTTGGCTTGCTAAAAGCTATGATATAGCAAGCCAATCATTTTTTTCATCTCCAATGATTATGTTATATTATAGCAAGCTTGCTAAAGAATAAGGTTGACTTGCTAAATATAACAAGTTTTCCAAAATATAGCAAGCTAGAAGTTGTAAAATGGATTAGCAACTTATGGTTGGAAAATGAAACAAAAAGTTGCTTGCTATATCACTATTCACTTGCTAAAATATAAAATTAGCAAGCCAATATATTAAGCATGGTTGGAGATGCTCTAATATGTCATTCTTTTCAAATGCAAGGCATTTTAGAACTTTATATTGTTAAGCATTAGAGTAAATATGAACGGTCTTATTTGAAAAAAAAGTGATATGTATAAGTTTCATTTGCTTAAATTGACTTTCATTTATCTTTTTTATTACTATTCTTAGTTTGACTTTATAGAATTTTAAAAATAAGAATTTACGTAAATAACACTAAAACATAAGGAGTAATGACTTTCCTAAATTGTACACATGTATTTTTTCACAATATATCAATTTTATTGTTTATCTATTAGTCACTATTAACTACTCCCTCCGTCCTATAATGATCTTCACGGTTCGCAAAACGAAGAAAAATCCCAAGTTTTTTCAATCGATTTTATTTAAATATTGGTATAGAAATAAAAAATAAAACATACATATTTTAAAACTACACCAAAAGTTCAACAAAACAAGTGGTGACAAGAATATTTTATTTTATCACATAGGCAATGAAAAAACACAAATAAATATAAATTCCCGTGAAGTTGGAATAGTGCTCTGGGAAGATCATTATAGGACGGAGGGAGTAAATGTTTGTCATCTGGTCATTATATACATTATTAATTACTATTCTAAGAATAAAATAATTTAAGTACTATTTAGAAAATTAAATTAAGTTTTAGTGCTATTTAGTGTAAATATTTCTTTTAAAAAATTGTTGAAACATAAAAAAGGCTGGCCAATTGTTAGTGGGAGTCGATAATATATAAACTGAGTGTGAAATTTTTATTTTGGGAACATCTAAAAAGAAAAATGTAAAGAATATTGTGATTTGGAGAGAGGATTTTTTAATCTCAAATAAATATTTTTTGAAAACAATCTCAAATAAAATTAAATAAGGAAAAATATAATTTCCTTCAGAAAAAGACAAATATAATGGTTAAATCATGTGACGAAAAAGTCAAAACATTTCTAACGTCTACGGCGTTTACCTTTTCTTTGAACAATGGCATCGGCCGGAGGAGCCGCTGCACTTGCCGGAAAAGTTATTCTCCGAGAGGCTGCAGCTTCTCTTCAAACAAGACGATGACAGAGGAGGCCTTCCGGCGGAGGATCCCAGAGAAAGAGTGGTCATCGGAAAAGCAGAGGAAGACGAAGCCTGCTTGCTCTCGGCCTCCCCCGTCAACGACGACGATATGTTCCACGAGTTGGCCCGGGAAATCTCCGGCGAGCAGGGGAAACAACTAATCGATTTCCCGGCAGCGGCGGAGACCACGCAGTCCTTTCTCGGCGCCGGAGGGAGATCGAGGACGGTGTAATCGCACCCCGGAGGAAGGACGTGCTGAATCGGCGTCGGGTTGTAGACTCTGGTGTCGCCGGCGGCGGCTTCTCTCGCCGGCGTCGAACGAACAGGGGCTCGCCGGAACCGGGCGTGGCCCGTTGGGGTCCGACCCAAAAGATCAATCACTCGCCGGAACCTATCGACAGCAACGCCGGCGACCATTTCGATCTCCCCGGAGGAACTTTCTTGATTTTCCGGCGGCCTCTGGGACAGCAATCGGATGAGCTTCTCGACGCTCTCAAGCCCAGAAGCAGCTTCTTTCGCCAGTGCACTCTCTTCGGGTTTCTTGGCGAAGCTGGGACTGTTATTAGCTCGTCTGTAATCCATCATTAGTTCAACAGCCGCCATGGCTGCCCTGTTCACGATAGAGAGAAAAAAAGGGGGAAGGAATGAGATTCGAAACAAACGAGAGTCAAAATGATGGGCATGGCCGGGGGAGGAGGTTAAAGAAGAAAAGGGTGGGAGAGGTGTGATGAATGGTAAAGTAGACAGTAGGTGAATAACCTGTCATTCTTTGGATCCATTTCTTTTCTCCCTTCTTCCCCTTATTCCTTTTCTTTTGTTTACTTTTTTTTTACTCCCTCCGTCCCAAATTATTTGTCACATTTCTATTATCGAGACAAAATATCAAGTTTTTTCAATTCATTTTATTTACATATTGGAAAAGAAATAAAAAATAAAAATTACATATCAAAAAACTACATGAAAAGTTCTTCGAAATAAGAGGTGTCAAGAATATTTTATTTTATCAAATAACCAATGAAAACGTAGAAATAAACAAAAGTTCCCGCGACTGTTGAAAAAGCAAATATGGCAATTGGGACGGAGGGAGTATTTAAATAATCTACTTTAGAATTACTTCCTCCGTCCACAAATAAACTTTACATTACGCGTTACGATGTTTGACTGAAGTTATTTTTAAATCATTTTATATAAAAAATTGTGTAGAATTGAAAAATAAAAACTACACATTAAAAACTATATGAAGAGATATACAAAACTAGATGTGATAGGACTATATTATTTTATCAAATGGGTGACGAAAATAGGCCAACAAAGTGAATAAAGTTTGCCTCTGTGAATAGTGAACATAAAGTTTATTTGTAGACGGAGGGAGTATATATTTCATTTCTCAATGTAGTCCCACTTGTCATTGTTCCCTATTCATTATTCTAATAAATGTCTACCATCACTAAACATTGTTCAAACTAAATGTCCACTATTATGGACATTGTTCTCGTTATTAGACATTATTCAAATATTATTTAGGAAATAAGAACGTTTAAGTACTACATTTGGAAATAACTTATATTTTAATATTATTTAGTGCAAATTTCACTAATCTCTAATACTCTTTGGGCTCGGTAAAAAAAGTTTCCCTTTTTAATTGATAGGGAGATGAAAAAATAAAATTGTAAGGTTGAAAATGATGTAGAGAAAAGATGTATAAGAGCCATAATTTTTTTAAATGGAAAATTAATTTTTTGGGAGCGGTTAAAAAAAATATGTGAAACCTTTTATGTGATAGAGGGAGTCTAACTCAAGTCAGATTATGATGGCGGGTTAAAAAATAAATCATCTAAAATAATTTAATCGATATTTCAAAAAAAATCATCTTTCATTTTATGCACAATAAGATCTTTTTTACTGGTGTGTGCGTGTTTTGGATCACCATTAAGAACTCAACCGTCACTTAATGGATTTGAAAGAAATAAATTATTTCACGCGCACACTAGTATAGGTGAGCTTATTAGGCATCACAATGAGAGGTGACCCAAAAAAATGTGCACGCACCAATAAAGGTGAGCTTATTACGCATCACAATAAAAGATATGATTATTTTTGGAAGACCACTTAAATGTGAGATTATTTTAGGCAATATTTCCTTGATTAAATTCACTTTTTTATAATTTATTTAAATAATGGTTTTATTAATGAACAATGATATAAATTTTTATATTCAAAAAGTACATCAAATACACTATAAATCAGAAGGCAACCAGATTATTTTTATCAACAATCCAATAAAATCCTACGAAAGTAGGTTCTAGGGAGGGTGTGTATGCATACTTCATCCCTACTCGATAATAGAGAGGTTATTTGTACAGGACTCGCAGCTCGGGCAATACGTGCAGTGAGTCTCAAATCTCCAATTACTCCTATCAAAGGTCATATCATTAGTTAGGCCCAAAAGTCACAGGTTTTCTCTAATCACCCCTTTTGATGAATCTTATGTTTATCCTCTCTAACTCCCACGCCCACTGTCGTAAGCCTATCAGATCTTCACACCAGAGCCTCAGCGCATCGTCGTTTTACAAGTGCCACTCCCACCCGTCCCCATATAGCATAGTCATGTTAGTTCTATGAGGTTGGCTAATCTTTTGGCAAAATAGAATCCCATATTTGTTAGGTATTTTACTAGGTAGAAACCTCTATTTGTTAAGATTGGTTTATTTTATTTTAGACTTCTAAAGTTGTAGTTTTTGAGGTTGACACAGAAGATGCTACAGCACGATGCTGCAACACACTGTTCGGGATCTGAAGTCTGAGCACGGGATTTCAAGTTGCAATATGAATTAGAAACCTATTGGGAATGTGACTACATGATAATAACTCCACCTATATCTGTTAAGGAATCCCAACTCTTTAGACTACTTATGGATCAAGATTAAGGAAGTTGTATTCAAGCCAACTTCTATTAACCTATCCTTACTAGGATTAGGTTTTGTTTGGCCTATAAAAACGCAGCAGGTCCCTGAGAATTACTTGGAGCGATTAAGAGGGAAAACAAAGAATATACACTGATGTAGAGCATTTCCGTCGCGTCCTGGAGCTTCCCTTGTGTGAAGAAAGATACGATCTACATGAAGGAGTCCTACAATGAAAAATAGATCGTGACTACCAGAAGGTGGACAAGAGCTTAAGGAGAGGGATGCCAACACGTTTTTCCTCGTGATCTTGGTGGAGATGTGATAGCCGAAGCGGATCTGTACAGGGTACGAGTTAGAAATCCTAGATTAAAAGTTTTGTCATAACAATTCGGAGAAGTGTGTCTCATCATGTTGTTATGTACCAGTGTAACTTGCATCTAGTGATTTAGTGGAGAGCTATTACACGGACGTGGGCCCCGCAGACTAGGAGAGTTCTCTGAACTGCGTAAACATATCTGGTGTTATTTTTACGCATTTTTTTATAGTTACAGCATTCTGCCCAGTAGGCGCTGTAACACCCTCTGCATCATCTGCTTCTGTGTGTGCTTGTGACAGAGAAGCGTTATAGCACACGGTCTGTCATCTGTTACTGTAACAGTGTTGCAGTATCGTCTCTGCAGCATAATTGATTGATTTGTTTGCATAGCTCTTAATTGGTGCTTTCCGCTGCGCCCTGACGAACTTACAAGCCAGTCTTACTATGAACTGGTAAAACTTCTCTTTCATACTTGTTGAAATATTCTTCTCGCAAAGGACCCACGCAGCCATCTTTCACATTTCCCGAGCAACACCAATATGATGAACCACATCCTCGTCTATCTCCCCAAATGCGTGAATGACCGAACCAATTTACTAAAATTTGTCTCTCTTATTAGGCACTAAGTGTGAATAAATTATACCTTCCAATTATAATCCAGTCACCCGGCCACTAAAGCGAGATTTCAAGCACCCAGTCTTAGTTCTATCTCAATATGAAGTTTTTGAATTTCAGGTTGCTGATGCTACAACTCCAACTTGCCATTGAGACCCTTGAAATTCAAAATTGTCTTTTTAATTGATATGAACAAGCTTGATCTCAAGCACGAAGAAGGTTCTGGAAGTTCGGAATATGAAGCAATTTAAAAAAATATGGAAAATAAGGGCAATGATTAAGCTTACTGAGAATAAGACACTATATGAAAGAATAGGTTTTGGTGGATCTGGCATTTTAGAGTGGAAAAATTTAACTCTGTTTTAACTTTTAACTTCCATTCAATGGTAAACACTGATGATGACTAGGCAATTGCGGAAGAACAAAGTAAATAAGCGAGAATTGTGTGAGCTATGTTGTATATAAGCAAATTTGAGACAATATGTAATTTTCAGAGTATTTTTGTAAATTATACCTTTCTAATATATGAACCGAGGAAATAGTAATTTTGAATAGAGTACTTCCAATTTTAATCTCTCTTATATAATGAGAAAACGAAATTATTAATACCCCTCTTTATGAAAAAACAAGTGAAATTTAAATACTAAAAAAATTATTGGTTTGACTTTTATGTTGTTTAAGAAAAAATATTGAAAACTAAAAATGTATAGTTAATATCAGTTTTAATTTTAGAATATAATGATTTTTTTTGAGTTGCATGTTCATTTTTAAAAAGAAAAATAAAATAAAAGTAGAATAGTATTTGAAAACTTCAAAGAGTGAGATCAAATTGTTTTGTGGGACATTGTACGAGATAGATGGAATAATTGTAAGGAAATTGTGCGAGAATTCCCCAATAGTTTAGCACCTTGTATGTAACGTTTTCTAAGTTTATTGGTAGTGACAACAAATATATTGTGTAACTTTTATATTTTATTTGATTATATATAATTTAAATTTATGCTCCATATAATTAGTCAAATGTTTACCACGTACAAAAAGCAAACTAAACAATTAAAATAGAATTGAAGAACGGATGCTAAGTAATGAGAATTGCCTCATCTACCCCTAAAAAACGTTTCAAATTTCTTTTTTTTTGTTCGTCATTAGAAATATTTTATTTTTTAATTTTTGCACTATTTTTAATCATATAATTTTATTTTTTATAATCTTGGTACTAAATTATTCCTTCCGTCCAGAAATATTCTTCCCGTTTGACTGTGCACGTAGTTCAAGATTGTACTTTGACTACTAATATCTTTATATATACATGGATATATTTTATAAAAATTTGATATTTGACATTTCAATAAAAACATATTGATACTAAAATTATATCATAATACAATGTATTTTTTTCGATATAGGAGAGTGTAATATGTTTGTTTGGGGGAACAAAGGAAAGAGTGGACATACAATTTGTGGTGGAGTAATGCTTGTCTTTTTAACACTTTCATATAAATAAGACGCACTCAAAAAATAAAATATTTTTTAATTTAAAATTCATAAAAGACAAGTTTGTAAAGTTTGTGAACTATATGTTTCTGTATCTAGCATTTTTATTTGTGGTGTGAAGAGATGTGTGTGTGGACTAGGGAATTGACCTATGTGGTGTGTGTGGGGCCGGAAAGCGAGGGAAGCATGAGTGAGGGTTGTGTTGTGTTGTGTTGAGCCAAGTCAAAGAAGCGCCGTCTGATTCACAAAAGAATCGTGTTGATTTTTTATTTTTTTTGGATGAACGAATTCAAGTGGGCTTGCTTGTCTTCACTGCAATATTCATTTTTATTTTCTTAATTGTTCATTATAACTTCTTGATATTTTAAAGAGAAATTTATCTAAATAGGACTAAAATATAATGACTTTTCCAATATAGGAACATATGTTTTTATTTTCCAATGTAGGACTCTTGGTCACTATCAAGTAGTCATTATTCAACTAAATGTCTATCATTACTGGACATTATTCCTTCCTACATTAGAAAAATCATTATGTTTTAGTCCTATTTAGTGCAAATTTCACTATTTTAAAAACTAAATGAATATATTGTGTATTCTATGTTTATACTTCCTCCAACAATAGTCAGTTTAGTTGAAATTATATTCACTTAAGATTATCGATCAAAACAAATTCACTTAAGATTAATTTATGTAGTACGAAGTATAAATATCTACAAATTAAATTTAGTGTCTACAAATTTCACTCAGAGCATCCACAATAATTGCTCTCTTTATTAAATGCTTAAGTATGGATTCTAACATTATAAATATTGTGAAAAATGGTCTTGTCCGAAATTAAACTAATTTTTTATAATTCATTTACAATTTTTTTCATGAGCGGCACTCCAAATTATTTTTCAAAAATTTCCCATTATTTTTTCCCCAAATTTGGCACCACAAAACTTGCAATTTTTTTGATCTACAATTTTTAATTTGCAAAACAATATTACAAAAGTTGTAAAAATGGCAAAATAGTTTTTTCTCCAAATGGAAGTAATTTTTTTATTACATCTCTCTACATTTTTTCTAGAGTAAAACTCTCAACTATTTTCCCATAACCCACTATTATTATTATTATTATTATTTTCAAAATATAACTACAAAATTTGTGATTTTTTATAATTCAGCACAAACGTTTTTCTAAAATAATATTACAAAAGTTGTGAAAATAGCACAAGAATTTATTTCTCCAAAACGACACTATTTTCGTATAGTTCACTAAAATATTTGTATTGCAAACTTTTTCTGGAGTGATACTTTGATTTGTTTTTTGCTATTCCACTAATATATTTTTTTCAAAAACAGATATACAATTTTTGAGCCATTATATTTTTAAGAGTGGGAAATATCTCTAACTACACTATACTGATATATTTTGAAAAACATAAATTTAAAGTTTCAAATTTTAAAAATTGAAAAAGTTGAAAAAATAGAATTTACGTCAATTAGTCTCACCTTTCATTTATTTGCACAAAACAAACATTTTCGATAGAAACCCGTTAAGTGACTGTTAGCTTAGAAATCCACCTTTCATATATATAGGGATTGCCTCTAGTGAGATGACACTTTAGGGTGAGATGACATGCTTCGGTTAGATGACGCAAAGCTCACCACACTACACTACAAAGCTCACCAATGGACAATGCAAAGCTCACGTGGAAATAAAGCAAAGCTCACCACTTTGAACACCAAAACTCATTTTTTTTAAATTTTGAAAATTAAAAAATTAATTAAAAATAAAATAGCAACACCGGTCAACCACCGGTCAACGGCAGTGGCAGGCGGCAGAGCAGCGGCGGCCGGCGGCGGCTGGAGTCCGGTAACGGCGGCCGGCGGTGGTCGCCAGAGTCCGGCGACAGCGACCAGAGGTGGTGGCCGGCGACGGCGGCGGCCGGAGGTGGTCGCCGGAGTCCGGCAGTGGCGGCCGGAGTCCGGCGGCGGCGACCAGCGGCAGGCGGCAGTCAATGCTGGCGGTCAACGGTCAAAGTCTAGTCAGCACCCTTCCTTTGATTTTATTTTTTTAAAAAAAATTTAAAGTATTGAAAAAATATGGTGAGCTTTGCCTTACAGTTTGGTGAGCTTTGCAATTATCTTTGGTGAGCTTTACAGTGGCTAGTGGTGAGAGCTTTGCGTCATCTGACCGAAGCATGTCATCTAACCATAAGAAATCTTTTCTCACCATGTACCGTGTAATATATTAAGAAATCTTTGTGGATAAGAATAAAAAGAGTATGAAAATACCAAAATAGAAATATTTGGTTTTTTAAGACCAATGTAAGAGTATGCGTTGACAATGTGATCAAAAGTGATGATAATGTAATATGGCAGTGCGATTTGTCAAACCTTAGCTATCAGCGGCTGTACTCTAGGCCTAACGACGACAGGTGATAATGTGGCAGTTATAGTGTGGCACCGTAAGAATGTGAGTGTGAACTCTTGTTTTGGTCTTAAAATATTTGAAACTCCTATTTTAGGATTTTCATAGTTTTTGTCTTACTTAGAGAATGGTCCGTAATATATTGAGTAACAAGTTTAACACAAAAAACTAAAAATAAAATTGTTTTTATTAGAACAAAATGTACCAAAAAGTTAAAGTAAAAATACAATTTTGAATTCCACAAACAAGAATTAATACATTTTTTTGTTCAAAATTTTAAATAAATTACATGTTAGCTTACATAGTAAGAAGTGTGTCTATGATAAAAGATAGAAAAATGCTTAGTTCACAAATAAAATAGTCACAAAAGTCACAAATTTATTGTTTGTGAATTTAAAAAAAAAGTAGTCTAAAATAAATTTGAAATGAGAATTTAAACTATAAATGATAAATTTATAAATTTTGTGACAATTACATTTGTGAACCTAGCATTGTTCTAAAAGATTATACAATAGTTACATTTGATTTCTTAATTGTTCACTAAATATGGTTGTGATTGTAATCTCATTTTTTTTTATTTTTTCCAAATACATTTTTTCTTTTTAAATTTGAGAACTAATATCATTTCTCATTTGTTAATATTATTTGATTTCAAAATCTACTTTGTATATTTTAAATATGATTGCGATTGTAATCTCAATTTTTTTTATTTTTTCCAAATACATTTTTTTAATTTTCAGAACTAATTTCATTTCTCACATGTTAATATTATTTGATTTCAAAACATTTTATCACATCTTCAAAACTAACTAATGGAACTTTCCAAATTTAAACCAAAACTAAATTGATAAAAAGGGATTAAAATTTCCAACGTTTACCAGACTCACCCTGCTTCAAATAACAATATCAACTCTGTCAAAGTCGCATCCCGTAGATCCTGGATCCCCGTCCGCCGTCGTAGATTCAGAAACCACGGCAGCTACCACCGTTACGCCACTGCCCGACCTCCGCCGCGGCTACATGCTTCTAACTGTTCCGATCTCCATTCTAATAATGCCTCACTGTTTCCAACTTTCCATACATTACGAGTAGATGCTTAGAGAAGACATCTACGGATTAGAGGAAGCTCCCACTTTTCAAATCAAGATCTCCCAGAGGTTACTCCATCTCCAATTTATTTGAGTGATTAAACATATAATCCAGCTCCATTAGCAATGCGTTCCATTACTGTGCTGTGTTTCTCTGGCTTTGGGTTCTCCTTCAATTCGAATTATATGAGTTTATATTGCCATTTCTGCATTTCATAATCACAGAAAATCGTGTGAGCCAAAGCTGTTTGATGAATAGACACGGTGTATTAGGAATGTAAATGTCATAGCAAAAAACAACCTTTCTTGCATATGGAAAAAGACTGGAACTGTGAAGATGAAATGCATTTTTTTAAATTAAAAAAAAATCCTTCTTGAAACTGAGCTGGATCTATTGGAAATTGCCTCTCCGCCATTCGCGTATGGAGGTAAGATCTGCATACATTTTACCTCCCCGACCTGACTTGCAGGACTAACCTGGTTTGTTGTTGTTGTTTTCATATACTCCCTCCGTCCCAAAATGATTTACCTCTTTACTATTACAGCCTCTCTATAACTTTTGTTTGTTTGCATGTTTCCACTGATCATTTTATAAAATAAAATATTCCTGTCACCTCTTGTTTTGCAAAACTTTTGATGCTGTTTTTGAGTATGTAAGTTTTATTTTTTACTTCTATATCAATTTGTAAATAAAATAATTTTAAAAGTCACGAGATTGTGCACGTCGTTTGAATAGGGAACTTCTTTTAGGGACGGAGGGAGTATTTGTTGAGAAACCTTTCCTTAGGAGAATTTGTATTCATATATTTCTTTTTTCTTGATTGATGTTTAACCAATGTTTTTGGGATGAAGATTTCTTTTCTGCTTTCAATGTTGAACTGTAAATGTTTTTCTCTCGTTCAATTTTTAATTTTTGATTTACTGTGGGCTGATCAATTTTATTTTTTAAAAAGGTTGTTTCCATTATGGATTCCAGAACAACCACTCCATCTCATCCACTCTCCAATAGTGCTTCTGAAGTTCAACCTTCCAAATCAATTCTTTCTGAGAAAGATAACCCTTCAGACTACAAATCTTCTGTGACATCCACATCAGGACAACTACCTTCTTTGTCCAAAAACTCAGTTGGTCCACTGCCTGTACCGCCTTATGGGAAACAGGATTTGGAGACCGGAAATGATGGGTGGTCGTCCTTTTCACGCCTTGCCAGTGGATTGGGATTGCAGTTCTCTTCTAAAGCTTCCTCGTCAAATGAGAGCACTGGAGACAGCTCAGCTAATGCCCAGTCAGGTGTTTTGGAATCAATTACTAAAGGACTGGTTGACTCATCCATGAATGCGGTGAAGGCTATGCAAGTTAAGGCACGCCATATTGTCTCCCAGAATAAGAGAAGATACCAGGTTTGCAAACATATTTATTCATTTTTACTGCCACATTTGTTTAGCCTGATTATAAAGGGATGTAATTCTCTCATTTCTTGTAGTCAAGGAGTCACACACCCTTAACCAATGGCATCTGTTTAACTAATAAGAAGTTCCTGAAAGTCCTTACGATTTAACTGCTGACTCGTTTTTGTGTGGTGTGCACTTTTACCAAACTGAAAATTATGGTTATTGATTACTGGGTGTACAAAACTTGTTGTTTATTGGTCTAAATAAGCCAAAGAGTTTGTACAATCTTGAACCTGAATTGATATTTTATGATCATGTAAAAAATGATCTTTTAATAACAAAATGGTTAAGTATTAACAAAATCAGAAGATAGAACTTCATTTCCGATATCATGCTTAGGACCTAAAAAGCTGATGACACAGTTATTGTTAAGAAAAATTAAATTGGAAAGTGAACACAAGATACCATGGGACAAGAGTTGATGATAAATCATACTACGAATATGAGTATAAATTTATTGAGATTTGATGCAAAACATGCTGCCCTAAAGCCTTTATTTTCACATATTCTGTGGATAAGGATAACTGTAATAAGCCTTGAGATTAACAAGTCTTTTACTTGCTGCACAGTTGATTATAGATTACTTAGTTATGCTTTTCACGTGCTCAGGAACTGTTTATAAGACTTGGGACATCCTTTTGTTGATAAACAAATTATTAATGCAATATCTTAGAAACATAATTTCAATTCAAAGGTTCATTCATTTCATAAAGAGGTGGCATCAGTTCAATCTCAATGCTTGATGCAATGAGGCTCTTTATCAACTTTTCATGAAATTACTCGTGCACTTGTGCCGAGTTTAAACACGATTAGGAAAATTCCACTGACCGCTTCCGTTGTGTTATAACTGACTTGTCGAGGGTGGAATTGGGGGCCTAGAGTCCATTCCCTTGTCACCTTTTACATTTCTTCTAGGTTTTACTTTAGTCAATTCTCTTGTTCACGTTAACCAACACCTAGAGTTATTACTCCCTTTGTCCCTATTTAATATTCCCTTTTTGAATTGTGATGTTTGGCTGAGGTTATTTGCAATTCAATTTATTTAAATATTGATGAAAAATTTCTAACTGGGTTGTTGTTGTTGTGTTGATTGATGAAAAATTTAAAAATAACAACAAAAATCTAGTAAAATCCCACAAAAAGTAAGGTCTGTGGAGGGTGAATGTGCGCAGACCTTATTCTACTTGGAAGTAGAGAGGCTCTTTCCAAGACAACCCCAGCTCAAATGCAAAAGTAGCGGCAAGCAAATCACAGTAGCAGTAATTAAGTATGAGTAGAGACTAGAGAGTGGAAAGTAAATAGTAAAGAGTAATGAGAGAGAAGAAGTTCACATACCGTCTCAAACAACAAGTCCCAAAGCCTACAAGAACAGGAGGACTAAGGCATAACCTAAGGCCAAAAATTCAGCTGCAGGCATAAAATAAATAGGGGAAAAAGATTCATGTGAATACGGACGATTAGAAAGGGATGGAGGGAGTATGTGACTTCTCAGGAGTGAAATACTATTTGACTTTTTAATTGGTGTTGTTACACTTGAGTAATACTCCCTTCTTCCTGCAATAATGTTCCACTTTGACTTTTTTTGGTCGAAATTGAAAAGCTTTGACCATAGAATTTGAAATGTACTTATTGAATACTGATGTAAATCAATATCATTTGATTTGTCTTGAAATATATTTTTGAAGTATCATATTTTTTATAAAATTTATTAACATATAAATGTACATTTTGATGGTCGAAGTGTCGCATTTGAAGACCAAAAAAGGTCAAAGTGGAACACTAATATGGGACGGAGGGAGTATATACTTGATCTAATTTTCCAGATGGAGTTAATTGCATCTGATTGAGTTTTTATTTTTATATATTAATATAACTATTGATATGTTGGGTTTGGTGGTATGTAATGGGAGTGCTTCTACATGAATTTAGGAGGGTGGATTTGATTTGGATATGACTTACATAACTGAGAATATTATTGCTATGGGATTTCCAGCGGGTGACATGAGCTCTGGATTTTTTGGATATGTAGAGGTAAAACTCCTTTAGCTTGTATTTAAATGCAATAGTGTGGATTATCATTTTCTCTCTGTGCCTCGGAGAAATGTTGCAGGGCTTCTATCGAAATCACATGGAGGAAGTGATCAAGTTTTTTGAAACACACCATAAGGTACTTCAGCATTAAAGTTAGGGATTCCTTCATTTATTTGAGTTTGTCTACTCCATACTTATAGAATTATAGGCCATGCTTGAATAAAGGAAACAGCCCTTAAGCCGGGGGTCTTTTAGGGGTAAGATTTGCCTACACCCACATCTAATTCATGGGATTCTACTAGGCTTCTGTTGTTGTTGGCTAAAGGAAAGGAGAACTTTTTTTATTAATTTTTTTATTCTAACCATAGGCAATGGTTGGCAAGAGGAAAAACAGGTAAAGTGCCTAATATTGTGAAATTAGAAACTTTAGAACTCCTAAATTGGGACCTAAGCACTTGACCTGTTGGCTATACGATGGGCACTCACCATTTGTTAAGTATGTGTTCCACTATTGGCTGATAGAAATGTCAAAATGGAAAGAGGAAATAACGTGGCAATCTTTAGTGAAGGCACTTAATTCTTGCTTTGATTGTAATGTTGTTACGGAGTATTTCATTGCATGATGTATTTTTTCTTGAGAAACCATCAAATTTTCTATCTTTGTAGTTCAAAATTGGGTGTATCATTTATCTTTTATACCTTTGTTGGTTTAATTTTCAGATGTTACTTGTGCAGTCAGTCTGCTACTACTTTCCATTGCAAAGTTAATCTCTTACATTTTATATAATTCAGGAAAAATACAAAGTTTACAATTTGTGCTCAGAACGGTTGTACAATGCTTCACTATTTGAAGGAAAGGTACTAGTTACTTCATTGAAAGCAATGTTACTTTACCATCTTTTAGTCTAGTTTTAAACAGAAGATATATCATGATCATATACTCCCTCCGTCCACTTTTAATGTTCCCGCTTTGACCGGGCATGGAGTTTAATAAAAGTTGAATGCATTGACTCCATGCTACCCCACGCCCCCACCAATGAAAGCTGTACCTAGTACCATTGTTGTCAAGTCGTCGCCTAGTTGACGACTAGTCGCCGACTAGTCGTCCAGGCATTTTCTGAATGGCGACTTACGCCGACTAGCGACTAGGGTAGACTAGGCGACTGGGCGAGTTAAGCGATGCCTAGGCGACGACTAATCAGTGAAGAAAACCTTCCCAATTTGACCCAACCCGACCCAAATTTCATTAAGTTTTAAGAATTACTCGATAAACTAGTCTCCCTCGATCGGTTCAATCAGCACAATCGAAATCCAGTGATTCGACATTATACCTTCCCAAGTCGCGACATCTCCTTCATCGAAATCTTCCAGGGTTCCAGCAGTTCCTAGATCAATTTTTTGGAATTGATTCTTCTTCATCTTCTAGGGTTCACACACTCTCTATCCATGAGTAAGATCTCTTTATCTTTGATAATTTATCACTAAAGTATGCTCTTAATTTGGTTTGATTTTTTAATTTGGTTCATTAAACTACTAAGTATATTTTACTCTTAACTTTTCAGTTTTCTTCAGTTTTACTAATTTTTCACTGACTTTATGTGCTACCTTTAAACATAAATTTGTTTTGGTAATGATATTTTGTCATATAAATATATATAGTTATCGTGGGTGAATGTAGATATATATAATGTTAAAAATTTCAATACTAATTGTGCATTGTCGACTAGGTAGTCGACTAGTCCACTAGTCTCCCCTTCACCGACTCGACTCGACTTCTCGACTTAACAACCATTGACTACCTAGCCCAGCCCAAATTCTTGCCGCCCAACGTCGTCTCCATAACTGGCAAGAGAGAAATTCCTGCCACCCAGAAAGGAATTTCCGACCAACCTCATCATTCTAGATTTCTGGCGGGCAACCTTTTGGACACAAATCGACCGCTCTAGGGTAGAAGAATCGAAGAAGATCTGAAGAAGATGAAAAGGATTTGAAGAACCAGACTTGAAGAAGAAGCAAATCCTTCTTCGACGCTGACCTCCTTCACAAATCTGAATCAAATTTCTTAGACTTGACAGAGATATGAACGATCTGATGACCTCTGAATAGTAGGGTTGGGCAAGACGATGATGGACAAGAAAGAAAAAAAGAAAGAAGAAGAGATGAAAATGGAGTGGGTGACGGGACCAAATCAGAAGGGGGGAGGAGAAGAAAAGAGAGAAGAAGGAGAAGAAGAAGAAGAAGAGAAGAAGAAAAAACAAGAAAAATGGGTGGGTTGATAAAATCGGAAGGGGGGGGAGAAGAATAGAAAGAAGAAGAAGGAAAGAGAGAAGAAGAAAGAAAAGAAAAAGAGAAGAAGAAAAAGAGATAAAAATGGGTGGTTGGACGGAAGGGAGAAGAAGAAAAGAGAAGAAAAAAGAAAGGAAAAAAAGAGAAGGAAAATGGGTAGGTGGGGTGCTGGATCGAATTGGGAGGAAGAAGAAAAGAAAAAAGGAGGGGTAGTTAAGTCTTTTTAACAAAAAATTTACCAAAAAGGAAACGGGAAGATTATTTGTGGACGGACTGTAAAAGAAAGTGGGAAGATTAAAGTTGGACGGAGGGAGTAATATTTTTGTTTTCATAGTCTTCCTCCCACAGTGCCATGTTTATGCGTAGTGAACCACTAAAAGACAAGTACAGAAAATTTATCATGGCTGCTAGCTATTATATTACCTAGGGTTTTACCGCACCTCATGTCCCCATCTGATGAATTGTCATTGACTAATTGCTGAGTGTAATATTAGAAATTTTTGTTTCTCAGGAATAAAACTATAGCTAACTAATGAGGAATGTACCTAGTTTTTTGTTTTTTAATGAAGAAGCTTAATGCATGGAGTAGATTTCAAGTTTACTCCATTAGTGAGATTATCATAATAGAATGAAACAATTACTTTCTACATTTTCCAATGAACTGTAACATTGTGGGGTGGGGGGCATGGAACATACTCCTGCAGAATGGAAAACAAAGAGATGCAATTTATACACTTTAATTTCTTCCTGTTTTATTGATTGATTTGTCATGGATTATGACCAGGTTGCATCATTCCCATTTGATGACCACAATTGCCCCCCTATTCATCTCATCAAACTGTTCTGCCAAAGTGCTTACTTGTGGCTGAAGGAGGACATTGTTAATGTGGTAGTCATTCACTGTAAAGCTGGCAAGGCAAGGACTGGATTAATGATTTGTAGCCTTCTTCTTTTTTTGAAGGTAGGGTATTAATCCATGTGAAATGCTGATGTTCATTGCTATGGTGAAGTTTGTTGATCATCTTTGCTGTTTCACTGTGTTATAGTTTTTCACAACGGCTGAGGAATGCATTGATTACTATAACCAAAAAAGATGCGTAGATGGCAAGGGTCTCATCCTTCCAAGCCAGATTGTCAGTCAATGCTCTTACAGACACTCATATTTTGCTCATATGCTTTTTATATACAATTATGCTTCTAGTTGTCATTATTTGTGTTTTCCAGAGGTACGTGAAATACTTTGAACGCATCCTGGCACACTTCAATGGTGAAGCCCCGTCTGGACGTAGGTACTCTTTTTAAAATGATACGGAGATAATAATAATAATAGTAGTAGTAATAATAATACTAATACTAATAAAATAATAATGAAGAGGATGATGATAATGATGATGATGATCATAATAATAATAATAATAATAATAATAATAATAATAATAATAATAATAATAATAATAATAATAATAATAATAATAATGATAATGATGCTCTGTAAGAGTATTGGTAAAAATTGGGGAAGGCATTTATTTTGTTTATATTACATATTTACATGTTGCTGCAGGTGCATGCTGCGAGGATTTCGGTTACACAAGTGTCCATATTGGATCAGGCCTTCAATTACTATATATAATCACAGTGGTATGCTATCTAGATTTGAAAATTATCTACTCCCTCTGGTTCATAAGTATAGTTTTAGAATGATTTTGTGCAGATTAGGAGCGATACAAAATATAGAAAAACTTGACAATATTGCCCCTTCCAAACATTTCATTATCAGTGAAGATAAACTGTACATAGGGGTCTTAAAAAGAGAAAAAATAAAAGAAAACAAAAGGGTGATAATGTCTAGGTTTTATAAAACGAAACATCATGAAACAAAAATTTCTCTAAAAAAATGGAACTTATTGTGGATGAAAGGGAGCTACTTAATTTGCGCATGTACTACAAATACCCATCTTTTTTTGGTTTTTTTTTATAAATGAATATTGCTTTACAATCCCCAAACCCTACTTTTGTGGGTTCCTACTGGGTTGTTGAATATTGCTTTGCATGTTATCGAGTAAAATTCAACACAAATCTGATCTCATAGATAGACTGCATGCATTGTCCCCTATTGTCATTATAATGTCATATATATAGGCATATCAATTTGAACAAAATGATTTCAACATTTCTATTTCACATTTGCATCTCACAGGAGTCCTGTTTACAACAAAAAAACACCCAAAAACCAAGGACTTGATGGTAATCTTCTTCTACAACTACTCTGCATAATTTTTCTTTTATGGGAAAGTTTGGATTCAGTTTTAGTTCTTATGTGGCTATATATGTGCATTTATTATCCTTACATGTAGCCAGAAGATTTTTGGATCCGTGCGCCAAGAAAAGGAATTGTGGTTTTTGCTCTACCAGGGGAACCTGGTCTAACTGAGCTGGTCGGAGACTTCAAAGTTCATTTTCATGACCGTCACGGAGATTTTTACTGGTCTGCAATCTATATTCGTTATTCCATTTTCACCTAGACAGGCACAATTTCTTTCTATATGGGGTTTTGCATTTCATGTCATGGAGAACATAGTATTCCATCTGTCTCAAAATAAACAACACATTTTTGTTTTTGATTTGTCCCAAAATAAAAGTTCATTTCAATTTTCTGGTAAAGAATACGGAGTACTCTGTATGTGGCAACATCATTATTTCTGTCTTTCTAATAAATTCTTGACAATACATTTTACCTTTTCAACAGTTTTCTTACATTATGTTTGGTTCAAGGAGTTTGAAAGGGAAAAGAAAAGAAAATGATAGGGGAAAACACTTGTTCTTGTTTGATTAGAGAGGAAAATAAAAGAAAGGTGTAGAGAAATGAAAACGAGAAAAACAAATGAACTAGAAAGAGGAAAAAGAACTTTCCTTCCATTTTGGCAAAGATGAGAGAAACTATTTTCTTTTCCTCTCCTTCCGAATTCCACGAACCAAAGAAAGGGCAAGAGGATACTGAAATATGATTAATGACTTCACATTTTTTACTTATATGACATGATTAGATTTCCTAGTCTTTATAATATATATATATATATATATATATATATATATATATATATATATATATATATAAATTAGAAGTTAGAACAAATCTCAAAGATAAATTTATTGACTTTGAACAATGCAGTACACTTGTTTGCTCATTGCTAATCTCTTTTCTTTTATTTATTCAGCTGGCTAAACACATCAATGATGGACAATAGAATTATTTTAGATGCCTCACAACTTGATGGATTTGATAAGGTAACTTCTTTTTTTTTGTACATGCATCTGTCTTCACTTAGGTTTACACAGTTCTTTTTTTTAGCCCACACAAGCTCACTAGATTTACTTTAAATTCAACCAAACCAAATGGAGCCTAAGTAACCATCACAGCATAATCTCTTGTATGACTAAAACATTTGCAGAGGAAGTTGCCTTCCCCTGGATTTGAAGTTGAGATTGTGATGATAGACTACGATGGAACTGTCCCAGCAGCAAAGCACAACCCAGAAAGCAGTGCAGCAAGCAAGACAACTGATGATGACACCAAAGCTCATGGTTCAGACGACCAAACGAAGGGGTTGAGAAGTGGGACCCGCGAAGACAACGTGTTTTCGGACAGCGATGGAGAGGAGCCCTCAAAAACCAGTTCTCGCAAGGAAAAGCAAATGCTGAAAGTGATAAGAAATGAAACTGAGAAGATGGGCATTGGAGGAGGAGGAGGTCAGGAGGAGCGGGCAGTGATGAAGAGTGAAATGAAAAGTGACGACACCATTGCTAACATGGGCTCAACTGATATCAAAGCCATTGCAGCCGATGCTTCAGTCTTCAGCTTCGGAGACGACGAAGATGAAGATTATGGTAGTGAATGAAGAAGAAGCTGTTGTTGCCACATCTCTCGTTTTTTTAATTGCTTTGGGTTTTTAAATTCTGTTTTAAGTCTGCTTGTAGCATCAAATTTTGTTTTGACAAATGAGATTCCTAAAGCCATTTTTGGAGTAATGTTTTGACAATGGCTTGTTGTTCCTTAGCACTGTTTGGCTTAAGGAATTTGACTGGGAAAAAATGTCAAAAATAATTTTTCTTGTTTGGTTAAAGAGGAATAAAAAATGGGAGGAAAGAAGAAGATGAGAAGAAAAAATACACTCCTTCCGTCCAAGTTTGTTTTTTTCATACACCATTTACAGAGTCAAACTTATTTTATTTGTTAACTTATTTCATAAAATAAGGAGTATTTTGATGTCATTTCTTGTCCTGTAGAACTTAGATTGTAAGTTTTTACAATATAAATTTTATTTTTTAATTTTACACTTATAATTAAATAAATTGAATTAAAAATAAAGTTAGTCAAGTCTTGTAGCGTGTAATGGAAAAATTCCACTTGGACCGAGGGAATACTAAAAAGAAAGAAAATAATGTTTTATCCAATTTAGTGAGAAAAACAAACATTTTTTCCTTAAAAAAAGAAACAATTTTTTTTCATTTCTAATTACTCCAAACCCACATAGCATAAATGATAAGATGATGGATGATCACTTTTTTTTTTATTTTTTATCGATATAAACCACAATTTGTAATTAAATTTGGGGCAGAGAGTGTATGTGATAAGTTAAGTTAATTGATGTGTGTGTGTGTGTGTATAGACACACACACATTCACGGAGTATGTTGGATTATTAGGTGATGGTGATGTTAATATAGAATACTCTCCAACAATAATCTTCCCGTCGCGCATTATGATGTTTGACTAAAATTATTTTGAAATCATTTATATGAATTATAGTACTCACTCCGTCCCTAAAAGATTACCATAGTTTGATTTTTTTGTCAAACTGTGGCATCCTTTAACCGTGAATTATGAAAAAAAATATTTAGTTATAATGTAAATTTAGTAAAATTGAATTTATTTTAAAATATAGTTTGTAAATATCAAATTCTTATAATATTTAATTATTTTAAACTATATTTAATTCCTAGTTAAATGGAGTCGCAGTTTGACCAAAAAAGTTAAATTGTGACAATCTTTTAGTGACGCACGGACGGAGTATAGAATTAAAAATAAAAATTACATATTTAAAAATTATATCAAAATATTTTATCAAATGAGCATCGAAAATAAACTAAAAAAATGAATAAAATTTGGCTATGTAAATAACAAATGAGAAGTTTTTCTTTTTTGAAGGAATGGAGTATAATGCTTGCAAGTAATTAACATGGTAATGAAGTGTAACGTGCTAACTAACGTGTAGTGTATATGGAGTAATAAGGGGTTACGTTGGCTTTGTCCATTTCACAAATTGCCAAACAATGATAACTGTCGAGCCGGGACACTGATAGTGACAACGCCCTAACTAAGGGCACTCATACGGGGGAGTGGGGGACGATCTTAGAGTCGGACCATGCATCAAACCTTCTCTCACACATCAATTTATGTATATTATCTTCTATTTTTTTTGAAAATTTTAATACACATTTTGTAAAATTAAATTAATATATTTTATTAATTAATTGAATTTAAATGACAATAATTTATTAAATAAAAAATTACTTTAATAAAAAAACTAAGATAAATTATATTTTATTTTTATCTCGTTTTGTCTTCTCTTGTAATACATACGTTTGAATCTCGTTAAAGTATCAAGGTCGATTTTCATTATTTTAAGCTTTCTCTTCTCTTGTTTTCGTTTCTCCCTCTCTTCTCCCCTAAGATTGAACACTCGCAATTGTTCAACCATTGCCTGACCGATATTATCGTGAGAGGAAACAGAGCCGGATCATGCAAAACTCGATAACGGCGATCGACATTGAGCAAGTACAGGCAAGGCATGCCACTAAACATGGTTTTGTCGGAATGCTTGGGAGCATCGATTGCAGTCATTGGGAATGCAAAAACTTTCCAACTGTGGCATGGTTAATTCTCCTAGATCATCCCAATCCTACTATTATGCTGGAATCTGTGACTTCAAATGACATGTGGTTTTGGCATTCTTTTATTGGTGTTGCGGGCTCGAACAACTACATCAATGTTCTTTATCAATCACCCATTTTTTGGTGATTGTGTTAATAAGACTGCATCCAACTCGTCTTTTGGGCTTAGAGGGACACTTTATAAGCATGAAATTATTTTATCGATGGAATATATCCAAATTATTTCACAATTGTCAAGTCTCACTCGGAACCAATGAGTCCTAAATGCCAACCCTATCAAAAAGCTCATGAAACAGTGAGGAAAGAATATCGAATGAGCCTTCAGGGTATGGAAGGGTAAATGACACATTCTAGATCGTCCATCCAAGGGTTATTCTCAAACGAAAATGAGAAATATCATATATGCATGTATTATTCTTCATAATATGATTATAGAGGACAACGATCAAGTTTGCAATTTTTCATTACAACTCGGACGAGGAGATGCCTACATACAAAAAAATCGACAAAGAAAAGAAACGAAGAAACCGCCAAGAAATTCGAAGCCGAGCGATTCACTATACACTAACGATGGATCTGATTGAACATGTTTTTAGTAGCTCAAATAATCAGTAATTTCTTCGTAATGTAATGTAATTTTAAATTTTTTAATTATGTTGTTATTATTAAAACATTTTTTTTATTAATGTAATATTTTATTTAATGAATTATTGTCATTTAAATTTAATTAATTAATGAATTCTTATCAAGTTACTTTTACAATATGTATATTAAAAAATTTAAAAAATTGAGAGTAATTGGAGTTCAAAGTATGTCCAGTTTGACTCGAAAAAGTCAAACTGGACAAATACTCTGGGTCAGAGGTAGTAATATTTAATATTAATTAAGTAAAATCAACTTAATGGATCTAATGGTAAATATAATACTCCATATTAATATTGTGACAATAATTAAGTATTACTCTTATTTGTTTAAATGTTTGTTGGAAAAGTTAATATTTATTAATGTACCAAAAAAGTTATAATTAAATATTCAATCAATACGTTTTATACATAATTATACGTATAGTATCAAATATACACATATTTTAAAATATTTTTGAAAATTATACAGGTACGTGAATATAATACGCGTATTATACATACGTAAGTATAATGCATGTACTATACATGTATTAACTAACTAGGGTAGGGTGAAAGAGGAATAGTTTAGTTCATTTTGAAAAAATTGAAATATTTTAGGGGACAAATAAGATGAGAAAGTTGAAATGTTTTGTAGGACGGAGAGAGAACGTGTAATATGTTAGGTCCAGTTTGACAACAATATTAGGAGTTAGTGTTAACATTTTAAAAAAATTCTGTAATGCTAATCTTTAGCATTAGCTCATTCAAAGTTAGTTTATACTATTAAAATTTTATTCAAAACGCTAATCAAAATTTTTTTCTCAAACCAAGCCCTGGAAAAATGACAGATTTCATTTAAGGAAATAGTTGCTTCACATTACTCTGTATTAGTCTTTTCTATGTATAAACTTTCACCATAAATTTTTTACTTTTTCTCTAATTCCATAAAAATCAACTAAGGGTATTTTTTTCGGGGAGGAGGAAGTATAATTTTGTCTCCGTAAAATGAACGGTTTTGGTTTTTGGCCTGTCTAATTTTCTAGTTATGACCTCCTTGTAAAATGTGTTTTTTTCAAAATGATGCTGTTAGAGTGCATCCCACGTTAAAAGATTGAATCCAATCTATTAGTTAGTCCAACTCAAGAGCTTATATACCGGTTATTTTACTCTTGAACTTCCGATGTGGGATGCACTCTAATAGATGCTTCCACCAATATGGAGTTAATATACCAAGGTTGGTTCACAGAGACTGAAAATAAAATTACTTTGGATTTAACAAAATTCGTAAAGACAAAACAAAATATTTAATTTTACCGGATCAAAAAACCTAATTAATATTAATTTAAAATTTTAAAAAATGTAGGAGAACTTTTAAAAAACAAACTTTTAGGGGTGAGTTAATTAAAAATATCAGAGGGACCAAAAGTAAAAATCACTCTTTTGACAATGACAAAATAGATTTAATCCTTCAAAAAGGATCACAATTTGTAATGCTACAAAGAAAAGAAGTTTGATCATGAACCTAATAAGTTTCATGTGATTGACATAGATCTTCTCGTATAAATTTTTACTTGGGCCATTATTTATTTTATGAATTTTTTTTATCTTAATAGTAAGCAAATGCTTATATTTAGCTTAATTACATGAATATTGTTATATGAATATCGATCTACTACAGACCTTTTGTTGATGCAAGAATTTACCTATGAAAAGTAGTTCAATATTTATATTGGTCTTTCAAAAAATAAAAAATGATTCAAGCTCTGACCTTTGTGGCTAATTTTCCATTAACTTTTTGAATGTTACTCCTTCAAAAAACAAAGTTCTTTTTAAAATCATTTTAATTCATTAAAAGAGTATTTAATTAATAAACAGTTTAACTATAAGTTAAAAACTGTTTATCAACAATAAGTCGATAAACACCAACATAGAGAAACAGTCTCTACATAGAGTATGTAGATCATAACCTTAAAGTCATATGTAAAATATGGATCTTTTCACATATTTTCCATAGATTCATAGTTAATTGGATCTCTTTATTTTTACAAGGCCCATTATATAAAAAATTTATGTGTGAAAGTCTATAAAATAAGTACGAACCTAAAAATTACAAAAAGAATTATAAAGAAAAATAGTATGGATCACTTATTTTTTTCTTCTAAATAGACTAGAAATATGTCAAAGAACCAAGTGATCAAAAAGTGCAGGCGATGCCTGTTGGTGATTTTAGTGTCATCAATTTATTTTGTGTAATTGGATTTACTTTGATCGGACAAGAATTTAAATAGACGTTGTCAAACGAGTGAGGAGGCGCGGAGTGCGCGCTTGTTCAACGATATTATAAATTCACTACGGGGTCCGGGGGCGGCAGCCCCCGGGTGGCGGGGTCCAAGGGGCAGAGCCCCTGGCCGGGGTCGAGCTGGAAATTTTTTATTTCAGACGTTGTTTCTTTAAGAAAATCCTTAAGATTTTCGTGACCGGAGTCCTAAACGGTAAAGGACTCGTACATAATGGATAAACGTCGAAATTAAGCCTTCAACCGCAGGAGACCTTTCGTTCAAACTCGCACCTTTCTTCTTCTTGCGCGAACATACGCGTACATCTACGCGAATGTTCATGTCCGATCACAAGGATTTTCGACTCTATAAAATAGAGTCTCGTGGTATGGGTTGATACATAGATTCTCGAGTGCTTGTTCTGAATCAACGTCTTATCCGATTGAAGTATTTCGTATACCCCGAAATAACTTTGATCTGAAAGCGTTTCGTACGCGATTCGTTATTCTATCGAGTTCTTCGTTTAACACTGCTTCGCAGTGTTCTTCATTTTATAAATCCAACAATGTCTATCTGCTCGAGCTAGTCTTGTTAGTCAAAATTAACTTTTTTTAAAAATTACGTGACGCTGAATTTTGAATTCACGACTTAATTAAAAATCTCATATCATATCAACTCAATAAAAAGTTTAAATTTGTAATTGAAACTCCAAAACAATGATTTTTACTCCGTATAATCTAATAAAACGTTTTTTTAACATATTGAAAAAGTAAAAGGTTCTTTTAAGGGTGAATATCGTATACAATTATTCGATATTGACTTGAACCATTTTAGACTGAAATCGAAATTTCAAAATTGTGTAAATTGAAAAGATTGAGAATAAATAACTTTGATTTTAGAGGTCAAAAATCGAGTGAAAAATGAGATTCTTATAAAACTGTAGTAATAATGTATTTTTGCCAAAAAAAAATAATAATAAATTAAATAACAAAGAATGTTAATAATAAATTATAAAGAAATTACTTTCTGATAAGAATTAATGCAAAATAAAATATATTTTTTTAGTAATAACTAGAGGAGAAGATATAAGGTTAAAAAAAATGAAAATTGGGTTCCCTTTCCTCATGGGTCGTGGATGGCCGCTCTTTGACACACCCTTAATTTTGACATAACACAATTATATATCTCTATATTTTCTAATTTTTTCTATATTTTCAATTACTTTTACAATCTCTCCTTTTTAAAAAATAAATTATACATTCTCACTTATTTTTTTTATCACTTTTATTTATACTATCTTCTTAATTTTCAATCACTCATATAATTTTATTAGAAAAAAGGATGAACCTCATCCCCAAGGGCCCTTCAGACCCGACCAGACAGTCACTGAGAGGAGGTAGATTAAACTTTAATCGCAGATTGGTGGTTGTCAGTTTCTGCACCTGGTAATTGCAGAAGCCTTATGCTTAGCATAATTGCCTCTCAGCGCAGTTGTCAGGAATCGAACTCGGGTCTTACTTCTTTGGCACCCGTTGCCTTGCCAATTGCGCAACGCTCACCGGCTATAATTTCTATTTTCAATTATTTTTACAAACTCTCCTTTTTTAAAAAATAAATCATACATTCTCGCTCTTATTTTTTTTTATCACTTTTATTTGTACTATCTTCTTAATTTTCAATCACTCTTAACAACTGTGTATGCGGGGCACAGACAATTATTGTCCATACTGCAAATATAGTTGTTGTCTCTGTGTCTTAATACATTTGGTGTAGGGTTTTTGGAGTTCACCAAACTTTATTGATTTCTACAATCTCCACAAAAACTATATGTGCCTTTGGCAAAAAAGGAAAAAGAAATTGAGCTCCATCCTCGTGAGTCCCCTTAGATCCGACCGGACGGTCACTGAGAGAATGTAAATTAGACTTTTATCGCAGATGGGTGACAGTCAATGGAGCCTACACCTGGTAGTTGCAGTGTCCTTACGTTTAGCATAGTTGCCTTTATCTATCTTTGTTAACTGAGCAACGTCCGCCGCCGACATATATGTGAGGGGGTTCATTTGAGACAATGAAGGGTGGAACATTTGAAAAAGGGGTGGGGTGGGGTGGGTATAAATGCCATGCCAACCGAAGAGGAAGTAAGGGAACACGAAACCTGAAAATTCTTCGTGAATGTCGACACTAATAAGAAAAATATTAATCGTTTCTTGGGTTTCATATCATTCGTGAAAATGGCATTCGGCCAAATTGTCCCCC